CTGAATGCATATAGCAGAAGCTTTCTATGGACTTTATTGTGAACTCATTAAGCTCTAAAGAATACACAAATATCATGATTATAACAGACAGACTGATCAAAGGAATTATATTAAAAGCAGTTAAGAAAACTGATATGAAGACAGTGGCTAGAGTGTTTCTTCACAACATCATCTCTCAATATAACATTCTTAAGGCAGTAGTGTCAGATTGAGAGTCAGCTTTCACAAGCATACTTTGAATCTGAATATGTGAGAAATTAAACATTAAAAGATGACTCTTCACAGTCTATTACTCAGAGACTGATGGAGCTACAGAGTGAATGAATCAAACTCTGAAAATCTATCTATACAAGTATATTAGCTTTCAACAGAATGACTGATATGAATGACTTCCTCTGGCAGAGCTGATCATCAATAATAGAGATGCTGTCTCAACAGGTATGAGCTCATTCTTTTTAACACATCTTTTTCATATCTTCTTCATTGATATAGTCAATGCACTCCTTGTTGAAACATCACATAATCTCATTGAGTTTGCAGATAGTTATATGAGAATGACCTGTAAAGTGTTGAAGTGAGCTCAAGTAAAAATGACAGATGCTCAGCAATCTCAAGAGAACTACACAAATAGACAAAAAGACTCAGCTTCAAGCTTTCAACCTGGAGATAAGGTCTGATTGAGCTTAGAGAATATGAGAATTAATCACCTGTGCAAGAAGCTAGATGCAAAATATAATCAATATACTGTGCTAGAAAAGATAGAATCTTATGCTTACTGACTGAATGTTCCATCTGACATTCACAATGTCTTTAATGTAAAGCTTCTACATGCTGCAGTGACAGATTCTCTATCTAGTCAGAGACAAACTGACTAGCAGCCACCTACTATAGAGATCTCAGAAGGACCTGAGTTTGAGATTGAGGAAATTTGAGATGAACAAACCTACCAGAGGAAAAAGCAATACCTTGTTAAATGAGTAGGTTGGGCTGAGCCTACATGAAATGACATAAGTCTCCTACAAGAAGTGAAGACTTTAGACACTTGAAAGGCCTCTCAGCAGGCAAAATTAGATGTAAAAAGAGCTTTAAATAGTTGTAAAAACCCACAACAAAGAGGGAGAAAAGGAGTATTATAAGAGGCTGAACCCCTAAATTCACTCTGACTGACTGACTCAGCCTAGTCATCATTTTACACATGTGCATGTGATCATGCTACACAAGCTTGCTTAAGCTTGTGTTCTCATCTCATTCTTTTCTTCCCTTTTCCAAGCAATTCGTCTTTGTTATATAGTAGGACTAGCCTCTAGTTCTTAGAGCTTAACCCTCTACAGATATGCCACATCTTCATCAGTCTGGTTTTCAATGTATGTAATTCTCATGCATTCAGTAGAGTAATGATTGATATTCTCTCAGAGCTTGCTCTTTATCTAAAAGAGTCAGTGTTTAAATTTTGACTTCTTGTCATCAATGAGAAATTTCAAATCATCAATCTTAACAGATCTTCTGGCAGTCTCAAGGGAGATGACATTTCAACTTGCTATTTGATTACTGACTATTATGTGAATCAGAGTGTGATTAAGTTTATCACATTCAGCAATTAGCTCATCAATCTGACTTTACTTGACAGCAGTCTGATTAGTAGCATTGTTCTATTTTATTCTCAGACATGTGATCATATCTCTCAATGATTTTTCATCATCAAAAATGTCATCAAAGATTACTGTTAACTCATTATAAATACAATCACTGTCTGAGTGAATTGCCTTTTTGAATTTCTCAATTGAGATGTATGATTGATTAGTTGATCTTGTTAGAATGTATCATCAGTTCCTTTGATTCCTTTCAAGAGGTTGAGAGCCTGCAGTGGTCATCTGATGTCAAATTGAGCTGTTGTCTTCAACAGTTAATCTGATATGTTATCAGGTTCTCAACTAGTAGATATTAATTCAATTGAAATACTTGAGTTTTTCACTAAAACCTGAGTGAAAAATTAGAAGACAGAACCTTAGAATTATATTAGAGAGTGAATGCAAGCTGCATAAAAAGGAAACTCTCTGTGTTGCTAACTGCTATGTAACAAATTCTAAAATTGATGAGGAAAAGAGGTATCAGGATTGTTAGGGAGCGAATGCGAGCTGCATAAGAAGAAAGACTCTCTGCGTTGCTAACTGCTATATAACGAAATACTAAGCTTGATGGGATGAAAGGGGGTGCTGGGGGCCTGCGTGGATTATAACCACCTGCATGGTCGTGTGGTCACGTGATATGGATTAGGCCTAATCGGGCGCCGAGCTTAATCCGACGTCGAGTCTAACCGGGCACCGGCCTTCGGTCGGGCTCGGTCGGACGCTGAGCCTAACATCACCCCCCGGTCTAGGGGCAGGCATGTCCTCATGCCGGTAGGTCGTCATCAACCTCGTCCTTCAGGTAGCTGTCTGTCTCCCATGCCTTCAGCCACTCATCTAGTCGCCTTGGGGGTCCAGCTTTTGTAGGGTTAGCCTCATGGAAGTCGCGTATGGCGTGTGGTGATCCTTTGAAGTCGCGAGCGGGGTACCATGAAGAATCCTCATCAAACCCCTTCCAGTGCACCCGATACTGCAGCTTGCTCCGGCTTATTCTACTGGCCAGTATACGATCTATTTCCCATTCATTCTCACCATCTATTTCAATTGGGTCTGGTGGTCTGATAGTCTGGCCAGGTAGAGGGTCTCTGGAGTCCTTGCGTAGCTTGTCTGGGGAGAAGATTGAATGAATTTTCATTGTTATGGGGAGGTCCAGTTTGTAGGCATTGCCCACCTTTTCCAGGATTCTGAAGGGGCCGGCATTCTGCTCTGCCAGTTTACAGCTTGGTCAATTCATCTTGTATGATTTCAATGTTAGATAAACAAAATCTCCTACTGCAAAGTCAGGCTCTTGATGGTGCTTGTCAGTCTGCCTCTTCATCTGTTCCTGTGCTGTCTTTATGCCTTTACTCACCTGGTTCCAGATCTCTCTCATTTGGTGAATGAAGCTCCTTGCTGCTTCTCAATTTCTTTTCTCATTCATGTCCAATTTCTCCGCCAGTGGTTGCCAGTCAAATGACATTCAGGGTTCATATCCATTTGCTGCGAGGAAGGGGGAGATCCCTGTGGAAGCATTTGGGGTAGCTGCGGAGGCATGGTCTATAATGGGCAGCCACTCATCCCAGTCGTCTTGGTAGTAACTGACATAGGGGTGAAGACAGGTGGCAATGTATTGATTCACCACTTCTGTCTGTCCATCAGTTTGTGCATGATGCGCCGTTGAGAGTTTCAGTTTTATGCCCAGGATCTGTGTAAACTCATCCCAAAAGCTTGATATGAACTGGGGGCCTCGGTCAGAGACAATTGAGTCAGGCGCCCCATTGTATGAATAGTAGAATCAAATGAATAGTCGGGCCAGCTCCTGGGCTGTAACTCCCCGGGTGGTTGGAATGGAGATTGTCTTCTTGCTTAGCCGGCATACTATGACCAAAATGGCATCATAACCTGTTTTGCTTTTCGGCATGTCCATGAAGTCCATTGCAATATGCTGCCATGCCCGTTCTGGTATTGGTAATGGCTTTAGCAAACCAGGAGTCTTATCTCTTGGAATTTTACTGATCCGGCACACATGGCAGTTCTGAATATAGCGTAGGACGTCTGTCCGCCAGGTGGCCCACCAATAGTGTGATTGCACCAGGGCCAGGGTCTTTTGTCCTCCAGGGTGTGCTGTTGAAGCTTGATCATGAATTTCCTGCAGTAGCTTGGCTATCAGGGTTTCCTTTTCCTGAACAGGCACCACTAGTCTTCCATTGTACCGTAGCACATTGTCCTCCATTGTATAGGGACTATTCTCATCATCTGCCTGCTGCCGCAGGGGCTCAATTGAGGTGGCTGTCTTGTTTAGAGACACTATGCATTCAGCAATGCTCTCTTTCTCTGAGGAGTTGATGCTAGCAATGTCTGTAGAGGGAGTGATCTGGGGGTTGAGGGTCTCTGGTCCTAGGAGGATCTGCATACGGCCGTCCTGTTGCCTTCTAACCTGCTCAGGCCTGCTCAGTGCGTCTGCTAGCAGGTTGGCCTTGCCTGGTCGATACTTGATCTCAAAGTAGAAACGGGAGAGGAACTCTGCCCAGCGGGCTTGACGTGCATTCAGCTTCTTGGTAGTCATGAAGTATTCCAGTGCACGATGATCAGTGAGGATCTTGAATCATTCCTCCCGTTGTAGTCCCTCAAGCTCTGCCCGCCATTCTTGTAAGGCCCGGACTACTGCCAGCATTTCCTTATCATGAACTTCATAATTAAGCTCTGCACCATTCATTGTCTTTGAATAGAAGGCTACTGGGTGCCAAAGGTCATTTTCAAATCTTTGACTTAGTACCCCAGCCACTACTCCGTCAGAGGCGTCAGTCTCAATATGAGTCTCCTGCTCAGGGTCATAGTAACACAGTGTTGGAGCCTCCACCAGCTGCCTCTTCAGTTTTTCAAAGGCTGATTTGCATTCTGATGTCCACACAAATGGGGTAGTCTTCTTTGTCAATTGGTACAGTGGCTTTGCGATTCGGCTGTAGTTCCTTATGAATCATTGGTAGAAATTGCCAAATCCTAGGAATGACTGGACTCCTTTGACTGTGGTGGGGGCCTGCCATCTCACAATGGCAGCTGTCTTCTCTGGGTCTGCCTCAATCCCTTCTGTACTGATGATGAACCCTAGGTATTTTGTCCTCTGGACTGCAAACTCACATTTCTGGATGCTGGCTTGCAAACCCGCTGTCTTTAGTCAGTCTAGCACTGAGTTTACCTGCTGCTTGTGCTCCTCCAGATTCTTGCTATAGATTAGAAGATCATCCATGAATGCTGTCATAAACTTGTCCAGGTAGTCAAAGAAGATACTGTTAACAAACCGTTGAAAGCAGGCATCACGACTGAGCTGGTCCCTTTCAATCTGCGGAGCTGAGCCTGATGCTCCTGTCTGATCTCCTCATCCAGCTTGATCTCTCTTCATTCCACATCCGCCTGATGCTCAGGCTTGGGGTCTGGGCGCTTCAGTACTGACCAGGGTACTATCTTCAACATCGGCTCCGCCACCTGTTCAGGGATAGACCGTTCACTCGGCCAAACCAGGCGTTGGTTTTTAACATCAAGCCATATATCCTGTGCTGCCAACCACTTCCGTCCCAGGATGACAGGGTGCTGGCCTAGGTCTGTTACCAGCAGAGGGACATTCTGAAATCTCCGGCCATCCACCCAGAGGTTTAGGGTCAATGTGCGGTCTATCACCCCGCCGGGGGCGCCATTGTATCCCTTCATGCGGCATTTGAATGGGAGTTCTTGAAACTTCCTATCAAAGAATCTTGCCAATTCTATGGCATATTGGGTATCAATAAAATTCGCTCCATTTGCTCCAGTATCAGCAAGAGAATTTGTAGAAGTAGCAATTCCATTGTAGGCTAATTTGATTGGCACATTAAAGCTTTTCCCCCCAATCAAGTCCTTCATCTCAAACCTCTCACAGACTATTGAACTACCTGAGGTGGAGTCTTCTCTCAGGCTCACTCTTTTCCCGAATCTGCTGAAGGCTCAGGGGCATCATTCCCTGTGAGCTCAGCAATCACCTGCTGGGACTTCTGCTTTGCAGGGCAGTTCCTGGCAATGTGGCCTTTTTCCTTACAGTAGTAGCACTGAATATCCGGACAAGAGCTCAAGGCCTCCTTCACAGTAGGGGATTTTGTTGTAGAGATGCTGGGGGGTGTTTGACTGTTGGCGGTCCGCAGGGTGTTCTGCTTGAAGGTATTAGGCTCATTTCCCCGCGAGCTCTTTGATTTCTGGGTGGCATTGATTGTCTGGAGGGTGTGAGCTGCCTGCGCACAGATTTTCTGAAACTCAGCATATGTATCAGTGGTCGCATTGGCTACTGCTACCATCTTCTGGAGGTCAAAGGACAGCTTGTCATTGAAGTCTGTCTTGTAGTCCCCCCTGGCAATCTTGGCCTCACCTGCCAGGTGTAAGAATTTTGTGACAAATTCATGATAATTGTCCCCATTGCGCATAATCAGCTTGCAATAATCACTCTTGGCATTTTGCAGCTTGTTAGCATCCTCATATATTGACTTGAGGTGCTCAAATATCTCTTCTGCAGTCTGATATCGCTCGGGGTGGTCCTCTTCCATACAGGGCGCAATGTGACGTGCCGCGTCCCCATCAGTCCGGTTTTCGATGTATGCAATCCTCATGCGTTCAGTAGGGTAGTGGTCAGCGTTCTCCCGGAGCTTGTTCTTCATCCGGGAGAGCCAGTGTTCAAATTTTGGCTCCTTGCCGTCAGTGAGGTGTTTTGGGTCATCAATCTTGACAGACCTCCGGGTAGTCTCAGAGGGGATGACACCTCGACTTGCTGCTTGGTTGCTGACTGTCATGCGGACCAGGGTGTGGCTAAGTTCATCGCGTTCAGCAATTAGCTCATCAATCTGGCTTTGCTTGACAGCGGCCTGGTCAGTGGCGTTGTTCTGTTCCATCCTCAGACATGTGATTGTATCCCTTAGTGTTTTTTCATTGTCAAAGATGCCATCGAAGATCGCCGCCAACTCATTATAAACACGGTCGCTGTCTGAGTGGATTGCCTCTCTGAATTCCTCAATTGAGACGCGTGATTGGTCAGTTGGTCTTGTTAGGAGGTATCACCAGTCCTCTCAGCCCCTTCCAGGGGGTTGGGAGCCTGTGGTGGCCATCTGATGTTGGATTGAGCCGTTGTCTTCAACAGTGCTGTTGTCTTAGCAGTTGATCTGACGCATTGTCAGGCTCTGAACTAGCAGGTTCTAATTCAACTGAGGCACTCAAGTTTTCTGCTGAAACCTGAGTGAGAAGGTAGAAGGGAAGCTTAGTATTGTGTTAGGGAGTGAATGCGAGCTGCATAAGAAGAAAGACTCTCTGCGTTGCTAACTGCTATATAACGAAATACTAAGCTTGATGGGATGAAAGGGGGTGCTGGGGGCCTGCGTGGATTATAACCACCTGCATGGTCGTGTGGTCACGTGATATGGATTAGGCCTAATCGGGCGCCGAGCTTAATCCGACGTCGAGTCTAACCGGGCACCGGCCTTCGGTCGGGCTCGGTCGGACGCTGAGCCTAACAAGGATCTGCTCAAATTATAAACAGCTCACATGATCACATGACTGAGTCACAGCCAATCCACTAGGTTACATGTGAGGTGTGGTCACGTGATGGAGATTAACCTAGCCCTAGCACTGAGCCTAACACTTACTATAAGATGAATTTTTTTTTTTTTATATATTAAATAATTGACAGTATCAGTCAATATGATAGACTTCTTGATTGATCTTCTTAATATCTGAATTCTTCAATTAAGTTGATTAGAGTTAATGTTTTTCGCATTTGTTGTAAATATTTAACTAGATTTAAATTAAAGTTTTTATTATTTATAGAGACTCTATTAACTCTACTAGCTCTATTCTAGTTAATTTTATATTGAAGTTTTATGATTACTTATTTTATATGAGTTATTTTACTTATATCAGTATAATCTCTGTAGCTATCTATATTATCTGATATCATATTATTATTATTAATCAAGTTTTAATAGCTAATATATAAATTATTTAATTCTTTTTAATTATTCTATCATATTTAAATACTTTTAAAATAAATATTCTTTATTTACTTATAGATATAAATAAGTTTATATTCAACTTATATTTTTTTAATATTTTTAAATTTTTTTTATATGAAGTAATATAATATTGCAGAATGAGCTCTATTCATCTTTCTCAATAATATAAAATATTACAGTTTCAATCTAGACGCAGGTAAAACAGATGTTTGATAGTCAACTAAATAAACTATCTGACTGAATACTAATATAGTTTCTAAAAAATGAGTTCAGAGAAAGCTTTATTTATATAGCTCTTTCTTAGTACTTTTCTTAGCACAGTTGTCATGTGATTACTATATTTATATATTATTCATATGTGAATTAATTATAGAATTGATTGCTATACTAATATCTAAACAGTTTGTAATTATTATTCATCTCGGCAACTGCAATTACTATTTATCTCAGTCTTATGCTGTTAAGAAGGCTATGAAGCTTATTCTATACTATCATATTACCTTTGCTTAAAATCTATGTATGCTCTCATGCTAGTAGATTATCATCTACTTTATCTGCTAGATAATTATTCTTTTTTCAAGTCTCTAGTCATTTACTCAATTGCTTTGAAGGTCATGCTTTGATTGAATTTGTAGAATGAAACTCTCAAATCAGATGCAGAGATTTTTTTAAAATTTTATACTGAATATCATATTGAATTATCATCAAATTCTAATTATTTTACCTGATATTGAAGCTTCTTATGAGAGACTTAGCTTGCTAGAACATTTTTAACTTTCTACTCATTTTTACTCTGTATATTGACTGATTCTGATACCTTATTTAGTTGTTCTGATAAAGAGTCATTCACAGCTTTTTATAGTTTATTAGAGAAGAATATTGAGTAAATCTTTATGTTATTTGATAGTCTTAGTTTATAGCTATTGCTCACTCTCTCAATAATCTTAAAAAAGTCTTTATTTTACTCTATAAGCTTTCTACTGAGCTATTAAATTCTATAGTTTTGAGTGATAAGAAGATCTTATCTTCTACTTCAAAGTTTGACTCCTAGCAGTACTTGTTAGCCTGTAATTTCATGATTTATTATATCTTTTCCATATTGTCTTCTGCTAGCTTTCAAATTTCCTTTATTTGAATAATATGCTACTTAATCTCTTCTTGTTTAAGCTTCTCTCCTCTAAATAATATCTTTAGCAGTGACTTTCAATTAAAGAACATTTGAGATTCATATTTATAAGCAGTTTAAAAAAATATTATCTCAATTGATTCATTTATCAAGACTCTAGTCATGTGATTTATCATTTATAATCACTCATCCTAGTTATCTTGATAGTAATTTATGTATAAACAGAGCTTGATTACTAAATATTAATTGACAATCTCAGTTTGATCATCTGTTTATATATAATAAGCTAATAATAGCTTCAGTTTAACTTTCAATTACCTAATAAACTTACTTCAGAAGTCTGAGATGAATTATAGTCTACAGTTTGATATAATTAAATCTAATGCTTTATAATATTCATAGTAGTGCTTCAAGAACAATCTTATCAGCTCTTTGATATCTGTATTTTGTTAGGCTCAGCGTCCGACCGAGCCCGACCGAAGGCCGGTGCCCGGTTAGACTCGACGTCGGATTAAGCGCGGCGCCCGATTAGGCCTAATCCATATCACGTGACCACACGACCATGCAGGTGGTTATAATCCACGCAGGCCCCCAGCACCCCCTTTCATCCCATCAAGCTTAGTATTTCATTATATAGCAGTTAGCAACGCAGAGAGTCTTTCTTCTTATGCAGCTCGCATTCGCTCCCTAACACAATACTAAGCTTCCCTTCTACCTTCTCACTCAGGTTTCAGCAGAAAACTTGAGTGCCTCAGTTGAATTAGAACATGCTAGTTCAGAGCCTGACAACGCGTCAGATCAACTGCTAAGACAACAGCACTGTTGAAGACAACGGCTCAATCCAACATCAGATGGCCACCACAGGCTCCCAACCCCCTGGAAGGGGCCGAAAGGACTGGCAATACCTCCTAACAAGACCAACTGACCAACCACGTGTCTCAATTGAGGAATTCAGAGAGGCAATCCACTCAGACAGCGACCGTGTTTATAATGAGTTGGCGGCGATCTTCAATGGCATCTTTGACAATGAAAAAACACTAAGGGATACAATCACACGTCTGAGGATGGAACAGAACAACGCCACTGACCAGGCCGCTGTCAAGCAAAGCCAGATTGATGAGCTAATTGCTGAACGTGATGAACTTAGCCACACCCTGGTCCGCATGACAGTCAGCAACCAAGCAGCAAGTCAAGGTGTCACCCCCTCTGAGACTACCCGGAGGTCTGTCAAGATTGATGACCCAAAACACCTCACTGACGGCAAGGAGCCAAAATTTGAACACTGGCTCTCCCGGATGAAGAACAAGCTCCGGGAGAACGCTGACCACTACCCTACTGAACGCATGAGGATTGCATACATCGAAAACCAGACTGATGGGGACGCGGCACGTCACATTGCGCCCTGTATGGAAGAGGACCACCCCGAGCGATATCAGACTGCAGAAGAGATATTTGAGCACCTCAAGTCAATATATGAGGATGCTAACAAGCTGCAAAATGCCAAGAGTGATTATCACAAGCTGATTATGCGCAATGGGGACAATTATCATGAATTTGTCACAAAATTCTTACACCTGGCAGGTGAGGCCAAGATTGCCAGGGGGGACTACAAGACAGACTTCAATGACAAGCTGTCCTTTGACCTCCAGAAGATGGTAGCAGTAGCCAATGCGACCACTGATACATATGCTGAGTTTCAGAAAATCTGTGCGCAGGCAGCTCACACCCTCCAGGCAATCAATGCCACC